CAGCAGCAGCAGCAGGATGTCGTCAAGCCCGGGCTCGAAGGGGGGGGGCCCCCCGCTGCCGCTGCACAGCTGGGGCTCCGTGGTGCTGCCGGAAGAGCCGCTGCGGGGGCCCCCCTTCGAGAGCCGTTTGCTGCTGGAGCTCGGCGAGTTCGTGCTGCAGCAGGGGCCCCTCCTCAGCAGCACGGGAATAGACCCTATAGAGCTCAACAGCATTTTGACTTCCATCAAGTTGGCAGCAAAAGTCATCAACCGCATAATCACCAGGCAGGGCGCCTACGGGCTCGACGGTGCGAGGGTTTAGGGTTTAGGGTTTAGGGTTTGGGGTTTGGGGTTTGGGGCTTCGGGTTTGGGGTTCGGGCTGGGCGGAGGGGTTTTGGGGTTCGGGGCGGGGGTGCGGGGGGAGCGTTGCGGGTTTAGGGTTTGGGGTTTGGGGTTTGGGGTTTAGGGTTTGGGGTTTGGGGTTCGGGGTTTGGGGTTTAGGGTTTAGGGTTTGGGGTTTGGGGTTTGGGGTTTGGGGTTTGGGGTTTGGGTGTTTAGCTGGGCTTCGGCCGTTTGGTTGTCGGGTTCTCGTTTTGTTTCTCGTTTTTTAGTTTGACCCATGGTGGTTCGCCAAAACCCTTTTTCAGGGTTTAATTCGCCTTTTGAGGGTTTGGAGAGGGCCGGGGGTTTAGAATTGAAGCAAAGAAAGCGGATTGATTCGAAATAATAATTAAATTTAAATTGAAATAGATGTTTTGATTCTCAATAATGATTTCATGCTTGTTAATTAGTTTTAATGTTTTAATTCAAAGTAAATAAAATTATTTCATTTCTGCAGCAGCACTGCAGCAGCTTAGCTTTCTTGATGGAAAGATGAGTGCCTGTCCTGCCGCTGCCGCTGCCGCTGCTGCTGCTGCTGCTGCTGCTGCTGCTGCTGCTGCTGCTGCTGCAGCTGGGAGTGATATACATAGGGGACGACCTGACGGACGAAGACGCCTTCCGGCAGCTGCGGCTGCTGCCCTGCGGGCTGCCAGTTGTGGTGTCTCCGCGGGCGCGGCAAACTGCTGCGCTGCTGCACCTGGACAATGTCTTTGAAGTGCAGCTTTTTCTGGAAGCTCTCGTGAGGTTTCCCTGCAGCAGCGCGCTGCAGCAGCTCGCTCCCCGCTGCAGCAGCAGCAGCAGCAGCAGCAGCAGGAAAAGGAGCGGCGCAAAGAGCGCCGCTGCAGCGCAAGAGCTGCGAAAGTCCCACACGG